CTGTGTCTGTGTCTGTGTCTGTGTCTGTGTCTGTGTCTGTGTCTGTGTCTGTGTCTGTGGCTGTGTCTGTGTCTGTGGCTGTGTCTGTGTCTGTGTCTGTGTCTGTGTCTGTGTCTGTGTCTGTGTCTGTGTCTGTGTCTGTGTCTGTGTCTGTGTCTGTGTCTGTGTCTGTGTCTGTGTCTGTGTCTGTGTCTGTGTCTGTGGCAGTGTCTGTGTCTGTGTCTGTGTCTGTGTCTGTGTCTGTGTCTGTGTCTGTGTCTGTGTCTGTGTCGGGGTCTGTGTCTGTGTCTGTGTCTGTGTCTGTGTCTGTGTCTGTGTCTGTGTCTGTGTCTGTGTCTGTGTCTGTGTCTGTGTCTGTGTCTGTGTCTGTGTCTGTGTCTGTGTCTGTGTCTGTGTTTGTGCATGTGATGTAGCATATCAATCATCCATAATATGAATCTCGCCCCTCTGCCGTCCAAGTTGCCTGGTCAGGGGCATACTTGATGATGCCAGTGTGCAGGAATGGCGCATGAGAAGGGTCGAAGGTATTCTCCACTGATACCTGCGCACGTCTCACACAGCCACCCTTGAGGATGGTAGAAGTCTGCAACATGCTACAATTGATAGGATAGTATTGGAGAGCTGCTAGAGTTCTCAAACCCCCCGTGTTTTGCAACAAAGTGGCCCTGTCTGAAGAGCCCCCACACGTGTAAGAAATCCAAAGCCTCGGAGCCCGTTGGCCCACAAACCCGCTGGCCTGGTAGCCCACGGGCGCCACAGTCATGATCCACTCCGTGTCGTCGGCCAGGTCGGCCATGACACAGGGACTGGACTTCTTCGCGGCAGTGGCAGCGTCCGGGCCAATGTACGGGAAGATCCACAGGAGGCCCTGCGCGGCGGATCGGCACCGGACAAGAACAAGATCGCACGTGGCCGGTCCGGCTGCAAAAAAAACACACACACACACACACACATGCCACAACCCTCGGCTCCCTCCAACCACCCCAGTTTTTGGCTACCTCTCTGGGTTTTGCGGCATTTTTTTCCGAGTGCAAAACTAGCTCAGGTGGTATTCCCAACAGCCCTGGAACCCCCTGGAACCAATTCTCCAGAACCCTCCCTGAAAGCTACCCCAAACAACGATTGCTCGAAGCCCTGGAAGAGGAAAAAATGGGAACCGTTTCCCTCCTCGCGGCTTCGACTCTTTCGACTCTAGCGGTGGTGACAGTTCTCTTTTTGGGTGGTTCGGCTAATGGCCCCATTTCCGGACCTTTTGATCAATCTCCATCTGCCCTTTGACTCTTTCAACTCAATGTTCCTGGCCCTGAAATGACCATGACTAACTTTGCCCATTTGGTGGTGAACGTCATCTTGGCGCGGCTTCGAGTTTCGACTCTCTTCTTTCGACCGCCTGCTGGTTGGAAAAAATGGAGTTGGTCGAGTACCGCTTTCATTGCTTTGGATTCTTCGAAGCCCTGCAAAAGGAAAAAATGTGAAACGTTTCCCTCCTCGCGACTTCGACTCTTTCGACTCTTTCGACCGCATCAAGTTGGGAGATTCACAGAGAAATTCGCCAAGGAGTTGGTGGCGTGGTTTTGTTGGTCAACCCACATCTGCCCTACCGACTCGAGTCTCGACTCGACTCGATAGCGCCTGCTTCACCTGCACCGGGAAGGTGGTGAGGCAGGCCCGCGCCAGGCCGCACATCCGCGCCTCCTCCTTGGCGTTCTGAGCCATGGGCACCGCCACACAGCTCCCCGCCTCAACGTCTGACGAGGCGGTCCCGCGTTGGTTTGGAGCTTGGACTCCGTTTTTGGAGGTAAAAAAACAAAAAGAAGTGGAACAAACACCGTTTTGGGGTGCCCATAGAAAACAGAATTCTGTCTTGTTGAGTTCATACCCCTTTCTTTTCGTCGGTTCAGGAAACCCAAGTAAGTGAAAATCAAACCTGGTACAAAAATGGTGAAACCAAAACCATGAAAGAGTCACCCAGGAGGCCGCACCTACTTTGTGGTTGACAAACCTTCACTTGCCCGGGTCTTGATTGTGGCTCAAGCGAAGCACCATGGGTGGGTCCCCCTATTAAAAAAGTGTCTTTGTTTCAGTTGGTCCACTTTTGGGGATTGGTCTAAAGGGAAACCGAGGACAAAAAGTAATCCCATTTGGGGGGCTCAAAAAAGCCAGGAGCTGATGACCATGCTGACATCCCTATTAGTGGCACATATTATCTGTCTACCACTCCAGCACATTGCGCTCTCCAAAACCGCCCGGTTTTTCTTGCAGCTGTGCAACTGCATTGAAGGCCCAGCCGTGATATCGACACCGCAGTCGGCCCTCATCCAAAGTTCCAATCGATAGCGGTGCCATGCGATGAGGGCATGAATCCAGCGCTGCATGCCACAAGTTGTCCTGACAGGAAAAAGGTCTGGTCTCGCACCCCGCAGCCCTCAGATTGCTCTCTTGGGTTCCCAGCCTCCTGATTGGAGCACCAAACCACCATCCTCTTGCCCAGCAGCTTCACTGGATTGGGGCGTTCTGCATCGAGATAGGTCAGTGGCGCGATCGGGTACCAAGCCCTGTTCCACTCGAAGAGCTCCTGAGCTTCCGGCTTGACGGGGTTCAAGAGAACCAAGCAAGAAACATGTGAGCAGCGCCCAAAACCCATTGACCTTGGGTCCTACTAAGACGGTAAAGGAATGTAAGGATCATAGTATGATCTCACAAGGTATTAGAACCAGCTACCAAAAATTTTGCGAATGGAGGTCTTGGGCGCAGTTTATCAAACCCCGAAACAGGGCCCTGCCTTCACTTGCTCCTTCAGCTCCCTGATTTCTTTGCCCGAAAGGCCGGCTAGTCCAGACGCTGCTGCTGCTGCTGACTCTGTCTGCTCTCTACCCCTGTAAATACTCGCAATAGCTTCTGCTTGCTGATCCACAGAATCTGGAATCTTGTCCTTCGTCTGCGTCTTCTCCTCCTTTTTGTCCGACTTCTCAGCATCTGTCTTCTTTGCTTCAGTGTCTTTCTTCTCGGCGTCATCCTTCTTGTCCTGCTCCTTGTCCTCCGTCTTGTCCTCCGTCTTGTCCTCCTTCTTGTCCTCCTGCTGGTCCTCCTTCTTGTCCTCTTTCTTGTCCAACGTCTTGTCCTCCTTCTTGTCCTCCTTCTTGTCCTCCGTCTTGTCCTCCTTCTTGTCGTCCTTATGATCCTCCTTCTTGTCCTCCTTCTTCGCTTTTGTTTCCTTCTTCTCGGCATCGTCCTTCTTGTCTTCCTTCTTGTCCTCCTTCTTGTCCTCCTTCTTGTCGTCCTTATTGTCCTCCTTCTTGTCCTCCTTCTTGTCCTCCGTCTTGTCCTCCTTCTTGTCGTCCTTCTTGTCCTCCTTCTTGTCCTCCTTCTTCGCTTTTGTTTCCTTCTTCTCGGCATCGTCCTTCTTCTCTTCCTTCTTGTCCTCCTTCTTGTCCTCCTTCTTGTCCTCCTTCTTGTCCTCCGCCTTCGCTTCTGTGTCCTTCTTCTCGGCATCGTCCTTCTTGTCCTCGTTCTTGTCCTCCTTCTTGTCCTCCTTCTTGTCCTCCTTCTTGTCCTCCGTCTTCGCTTCTGTGTCCTTCTGCTCGGCATCGTCCTTCTTGTCCTCCTTCTTGTCCTCCTTCTTGTCCTCCTTCTTGTCCTCCTTCTTGTCCTCCTTCTTGTCCTCCGTCTTCGCTTCTGTGTCCTTCTTCTCGGCATCGTCCTTCTTGTCCTCCTTCTTGTCCTCCTTCTTGTCCTCCTGCTGGTCCTCCTTCTTGTCCTCCTTCTTGTCCTCCTTCTTGTCCTCCTTCTTGTTCTCCTGCCCGTCCTCCTTCTCAGCATCCTCCTTCTTGTCCTCCTTCTTGTCCTCCTTCTTGTCCTCCTTTTTGTTCTCCTGCTGGTCCTCCTTCTTGTCCTCCTTCTTGTCCTCCTTCTTGCCCTCCTTCTTGTCCTCCTTCTTGTCCTCCTTCTTGTCCCCCTGCGTGTCCTCCTTTTTGTCCTCCATTACGTCCTCCTTCTTGGCTTTTGTGTCCTTCTTCTCGGCGTCCTTGCTGTCGTTCTTCTGGTCCGACTTCTGCTCGGCATCTTCCCTTTTTGCTGCAGGCTCTGAACTTGTGTCAGCCTGATCTTTAGCTTCCATACTTTGGGCCTTCCCAGTGTCATCACTAAACGGCCAGATTTCCCACCCACCACCCGGTTCGGATGAAGAATCATCTTCTCCCCCTTCTGAAAATACAGCTATCAGCGGTCCTCGGCAAAAATATCCGTGCTCCACAAAAGGCAGTACCAATGAGCATTGCAAGCATAGTAGGGATTGCAATTGCGACCGAAGGTCTTTCACGACCTCGACTCGATCTTCTGCCAAGCTTCGCGCCTGCCACTACCAAACATGCGTACACACACACACACATGCGCGCGCGCTCACACACCACTCGCTCGCTTCCTCCCTCCCTCCTTCCCTCCCTCCCTCCCTCCCATCCCGCCCTCCCTCGCTTTTCTCAAGTGATGCGGGACACAACGACAAAAAGCTACCAAACCAAAACTTGGTATATACCTTCATGAAGCTGAGTGCTTTACAAGCTGCGACTGTGCACGTGCCTCCTAGTCTCACTGCCACACGGGACAAACCAAAACCCGAGCCCCAGCCTATTGCCAGCACCGAAGCACAGAGGTGCCGTGGCTTTATGCCAGGGGCCTCGGATGGCCACTTGGACCGTGTTCCAAGCTTCGTCCAGACTGTTGCCAAGCAGCCCGAGAATTCCTGGGACATCTTCGGGCCGTGTCAGGTGCTGCTCTAAATGTGTTGCAGGGCAACGCTGGCAGCAACATGACGGCCGCAATGCCTCTCTCTCTCTCTCTCCCTCTCTCCCTCTCTTGGCTTCCGTCTCTCTTGCTGGAGCAACTCATAGAACACTTTCACCAGGAGGTGGCAACCATGTTTTGTGTATGTATCTCTGTGTGTGTGCGCATGTCGGTGTGCGCCCGGTTTGGTCTCCCTGAGTCGCCGCACGTATCTCTGCATGCGTGTCTATGTGTTTGCAGGATTGCGTCTGTGCGTGTCTGGGCTGTGCGCGTCACACAACCATTTCTGCACCCGTGTCTTTATAGTCGATCTGCAGTTCGAGCAGCTGCCACACTGCAGGATAGCCATCAAGTCAGCAAGGCGTTCAATGAGGGCCATTCAACGCTGCTTCAAAGGATGGCAATGTCAAAACAGGCTGTCTTATCAACATGTTTGGTGCCAGGCAATTGGCCGTGAGAAGCAACATGGAAAAAGCTTAGCAAAGCATCTGGCAAGTCCGAACCTCAATCTGCATGCACGCGCCGAAGTCTGCCAGCTTAGCATCGCCGTGGGCATCAATGAGAATGTTGGCACCTAACAGCAAACCGCCCCGAAGCACGCTGCGAAGAGAGATCGCCGGCGAATCCCCCGGATTCAACCCTTTGGATGCCAGAGCATGTGGCGTGCGGCAGGTTTGTGTGACTCAGAATAAAAGAAGCAAGCAACATGTTCCGCTCACAGGGGTGCGATTTTCAGTAGGGGACCCTGTGGTGGACACCGATTGCGGATTCATGTCCACCACTTTCGAGGCGGTGCCAACTCGTAAAAAAGTTCGCCTCAAGAACTGCGTTTCCTTTTTTGGATCCCAAGGCCAGATTGAGACTTAGGATTCGAGTTTTTGTTTTGGGATAAGAAATCCGCAGAAACAAAAAAGAAAACAAAAGAAAACGGGGGGAAAAAAGCTCTGGGGCTCCGGGCCCTTGACGTCCCGGTGCACGATCTTCTCCGAGTGGAGGAAGTCTAAGCCCTCGAGGATCTGCCGGGTGTACTTCTTCACGAGCCGCAGGCCGTAGGGCCCAAACTTCTGCAGCACCTCAGCACATTTTATCTGGGTGCCGACTCATTGCTTCGGGATGTGCTCTGATCTTGAGCTTGGATAGCTTAAGATTGGTTTAGTGTTGGCTTTGGGTTTGTGTAGGTATAGGGGGCCCTTAGGGCTTGCGTTTGCCCTAAATAGGGCGGGGTGCGGGTGGACTCGTACGAATCCATCCAGACAGAAAGGCCCTCAAATTCTCGCGCGATCGGTAGGGAATGAGTTGGAACCCAACCAAAAACCCTACGGCTGGCTTGCTTTGGAATCCAACGATCGGTTTATTCCCACCCCTAAATGATTCGATCCCATCAAAACCAGCAAGTTGAAGAACATGGTCCGGCAACCAATTTGCACAAACCAACAGACACAAGTCTCAATTGACACTCGCATGTCATCAGTGTCCTTTCGGGATCTTACCCGTGCTTGGTCTTAGACGAATTTGATACCACCGCGCTAGCTGTACATCAGTCTGCCAAACTTTGGCAACGCAACACATCCTCTAGCTGCAGCTTCCCTTCCCAGCTCGCAGCAAAGGAACGGCTTTGATGGAGCCACTAGGCATGTACTCGAGGAAAATGAGAAGAGCAGGATCCTCCTGCACATTCAAGGATCCCACGCAGCCCAAAGAGCATGGATCAGGTACCTGTCCTCGGAGTGCAGTCGAATGCAGCCCTGATATCGCACTATCCTGGCCGGTTGTCTGGCTCCGCTTCCCAACCCGCACAGCTTCTATCACTGAGTTGTCCAGAACTGACATGGCCTGCAAAGCTGTTTGCTGCCGGGAGGTTCAAAACAAGTCAGCTTTTTGCACATAAAAGCAATGCATTCGCGTCCTGGGATGCTTCAGGCGCTTCAGGGTGTTGATCTCTTGCAGCAGCACGCTTGCCTCCTGTGCTCACTGGGTCTATTGTTTCAAACAGTTCAAGACAGCTAAGTCAGACATGGGAGTACCTCGCTTGAACCCTTGGGTGACTTTGCTCATGGAGCAATGGGGCCCTTAGGACAATCTCCAGCTCCAACTTCACAGCCGAAGTCTGAGTCTCGCTCCCGCTCTGCTTGCTTCTGCCCGAGGCTGAAGTCCAAGGGGATCTGCCGGCGCAGAACAGGGACCAAGCAGAACACTTGATTTTCATTGGGTTGTCCCCATTTTTCTGGGAATTCAGACCACTTTTGGAGGGAAACACCCCCCAGATCCTTCTGGCAAAGAGTAGGACGGCATATGGGGTCGACATGAAGTTCCAGCCTTCTTCACCGCCATAAACTTGCCTGCAACCATTGCTTTAAACCTCAGCACTGAAACTGCCAGACAATCGAAGCAAAACAACACCCAAGAAGGCATGTTTCTATTTGGCCGAACCATATGGCATCTGCCCAACCCCGCAAAGTCATGGTTCAAGCTCAATCCTGTCGGCATCAACTTGGGACGGTGACGCCTTGGCTTCCTGTGCCAGACGGCGCTTTCTTCTTGCATGTACGTCCAAGCGCTTCAAGCGCCGTCCTGAGGCCAGGGCACTTCGCCGTAAGCGCCTCTCCCCAGGGATTCACCCTGGCGACCCAGGCTTTTGACAGCCGGTGAGCATTCCCAGTCAGTTCGTCCTTGCTGCCCTGCTCTGTGCACAAGCAAGACTAAGCTCTCTAAAACAAAGGACTGATTCACTTCTTCCGTCATAAAAACGAATCTCTAGGACCAAAGCAGATGCACATGCAAATTTCGAGCCCCCATTGCCGCAATGCCTGCTTAAAGGCGCGCAAGCGCTGGTCCTGCAGCAAGAGAGGCGCAAGATGTCCCAAGCACCGCCCCACATTCTCAGGGCGCGGGCATTCTCAGCATCCAGTCGCTCGTAGCTGGTGGCCGCCGGCGACGCCTGAAGCCGTCAGCGCGGAAAAAGTTGGGGCAACGTCCCCACGCTTCACGCAACCTAAGCCGACCTGGGAGCTTGGCTCGGCCACTGCAACTATCCCTGTGCGGCGAGGGACTCAATGACCTGCGGAGACACATTCAAGAACATCTGTGTTGAGACAGATGATTACCTGCAGCCTCGAGAGCTCTTCAAGATGAGCTCGCGCATATTGCGTGGACCGCTAAGCCACTGGCTGTGGCATGGCGGCGTGCATCTCCAAGATCGCAGCCTCGCCGAGGGCAAGCAAGCAAACGAAACAAGCAAGCAAGCCAGCAAACAAAGAAACAAACAAACAAACAAACAAAAAAGGTAAGCACGCATCAAATGTCCTTGTCCATGCCCGGCAGAGTCGGCGGAGGTGGTGGTGGCGGGGGAGGCGGCGGCGCCTTGCTGAGGAAACAGGCCGCGAACGTCTTTTTGTAGCATTGGCACCACAGCGAAATGGGCATGTGTTTTTTCCAGCAGGGGACCCCTAAAATGATGGGGTGTTCTTCTTGGTTTCCGTTTAAAAC